ATATATATATATATATATATATATATATATATATATATATATCAGATCACAATAACATATGAACGGTGGTGTGTGTGTGCTTGTGTGTGTGTTATATTTCAATTTGAAGGGTTAAGGGCAAGTTGTAAATATGTCACATTATTTTAATAGGGATGTTGAAGATCAGGGACTGAAATGATAATAGTTAACTTTACACAATCATGTTAAAATTATTTTTAATTGCAAACTGGCCCTCACACATTTCGAAATGTACATAACTTTTGGGAGGTAATTGCAATTTTAGAAGTTGCATTTGGAAACAATAATTCTTCTTCTAAAACCGGCTTCCTCACCCCCGAACATATTTCACTTGCCATCAGAATACATCTGAGCGAAAGTGAAACGAACCAAACCAAACCAAAACCATACTAAACCGAAGCATTGCAAACCAAATCCGAACCGAATCAAATAGGATACTGAATACTCACGTGATCTATTTTATCGCTTAATTTGTTCACTGTATATTGTTGCAAACTAACATCATATTGAAAGGAATATAGAATATTTTTACCATGAAATAAACAAATGCCATTAATGTGAAAGTACCAAACATAACATAAAAACAGATCGAAAATATCGAGACCAATGTAGCACTTTAAAATGAAATAGAAAAAACAAAAAATATCGTAATAAATGAAACGATTCAAATGTGAAAGAACCAAATGGAATGTCTGCAATATTTTTAATATCGAGAGAAATTTGTCGCCCGTTCAGTAAACGAATTAGGCAGTATCATACGACCTTGTAACGGCAAAACATTCGCCTCTCCGTTCAAAACCGTGTATGATAATCCCTTACAATTCCCAAATACCAATTCTTTGTTATGCAAACCAAATACCAATTCTTTGTTATGCAAACCACCGTCTGTCAATCAGGACGATTCAATCATATTAAAAGTATAAGCGAGGAACATGTCTTTCCTAAACCCATCGAACGTAGCTTTCGAGAGGATATTCATCTGAAAAATACAATAAAATTTAAATATTAATTAGTAAGAAAAACAAAATAAAACATATTGGTAAAATCATGAGATAAAGATGATTCATTCATGTATTTATACGAACCTATGTGATTCTTTCATAAAATAATTAAAAGTATAAACACCAAATTTGAGCATAAAATATATTGAAATTATAACTGTGAAATTTTGGAGATAATACAATATTATAAAATTAAAAATGAAAGAAAAATCATCAATAAAAAATAACGAAAGAACTAAATAACAACATTTGCAAAAAATCAAGAAAACCTAATTTATCAAAACAAAACGCACATAACCATACGTTTTTTATCGAATGAAAAATGATGGTGGAATAAAATGATGATGGTGAAAAATATATATATATATATATATATATATATATATATATATATATATATATATATATATATATATATATATATATATATATATATATATATATATATATATATATATATATATATATATATATATATATATATATATATATATATATATATATATATATATATATATATATATATATATATATATATTTATATTAAAACAAGATCGTACTTAATATATCAATACTATCCTGTTGGATCTTTTAGAAACACAGATAGGATATTACTGAGGACATCCAAAGTCCATAAGTTAACCTGAAAAAAGCTTAACGCCCGAAAACGCCTGCGCCTGGAATCGGCAAAACGGCAAACAAGGCAAGCCCACATGGTTAACTTGTGAATATCACTGGAAACCGCATACCTTCTGGTCAAACCAAACTCTACCTTTGATATCTTAAATGAAATAAATTTTACATTTCACAAATGCACATGATAGTAAAGTAATGTTGAGTCAAGCCATGATTTAATACAGGAAACCTAGCCGGCCATTGAGGCGGCGATCATAAAAATAAAAGACTAAGGATGAAAGCAAAAGTACCTTAAAGAACACCAAGAACTTCAAACCAACTAATATTTCACACGATAATTATACAAGAGAGGAATTAAGAAAAAAAAGAGAAAGTCTCGAAAAGTCTGTCCTAAGGAGTTGGAAACTCCAACAATAAATAGAAAAGAGAAAGAGCCGGACATCAGCCCCGGATTTCAAAAAGATAAAAAAGTGTGAATAGTGTTTTTACTATTCATGAACAGTGCTTGGTCTGCTGGTGTAAGCAATGACGAAATTTAATTTGTCGGATACTGTAGATGCATCTTGCTGAAATGCTCTAAGATAAAATTTTCCTTAAATCGCCATTAAAGAAGCTTGTTTCTTCAGAAGTCTTAGAGTCTTCTTAAAATCTTTTAATGACTGGACAACAAAATTGTTTCTCTGCCTAATCCCTTCCCCAATTAGAATAGAATTTTCAAGGGCCGTAATCTTCTTTCTAAGAATCCTGAGATAATTATTACCTGTGATCTCGTTAGATTTTTCATCGAACCTAACATGAAAAGGAACTTCCCAGCTGTTCCAATCTGGTGATGAACTGAAGCGTACGAGATAAATCTCCCAGTCATCCATTAACTTTTTCCTTCCTTTACTTTCTCTTTAAGAGAGGATTTTAGCAAATCAAAACTTTCTTGTAAAGAAAGATCTTGATAATCTTCGTTAGGATCCTGAGCATCTTGGAGGTCAGTAACAGAACTCATAGAAGCATCTGATTTTGAATTAGAAAAGTCAATATCATTGAATAAGTCCTTCTTAATGTGGTCCATATAAAGATCCATAATTTTTTCTTTAGAGAAAATGTCAAAATACTGCTTGGAGAACTCAGAGAACGAAGGAAGACTATATGAAGTCCTCTTAGCAGAGATCTTCTTATGATCTTCCATTTTAGATTTAATCCTACGAATATTTTCCTGTAAAGGTGACTCATTGGAGCCATGAGTAATAACATTTAGATTATTCCAAAACCTAGTAGTATGAATTCTCCATAAACACGGCGTACCATTGGTCGTGAACCCGAATTATGGTTTCCATTTCCAAACCCATGGAATTCCGGAATCAACAAAAAACATACAAATAGTTTTACTACATGTATTGTGAGTTTTAAAAGAAGAAAAACTAATAGAGTATTCTTCTAGGAGAGATGTAATCTCTTCAGGCAAAATATCTGCCATTGCACCAAAAATTTCCCACCAAAAGAAAAGTCAATTTGGAATTTGATTCATACTGATATTATCACAATTTTTTATAAGCCATGTGTGAGAATGCTTAGGATTCTGATATAAAAGAGTTTTATAAAAACTATGTAGGTAATCCCAATAATTGTACTGGTAAGCTGACCTAGTAACCTCATTAGTAATGCTTTTCTCAGCAAAAGGAGAAGTCCCCCATTCATGGATGGAGATGATCTTCTTGATAATGAACTTGGAGTAGTTAATCACCTTACTCTTAGGAGGATAGTGTTGAATATCAACACTTCCCAAGCTGGTGAGGATATTCTCATAGAATCCTCTCGTTTTGTAAGTCTCGACCTTCCAACAATTTGCCGGGAGATACTTATCCATAAGAATCCATGGGGACTCTTTGAACGTCTCATCGTCATTTTCAATGACTAAAATTAACTCTTTTTTAGGGGAGTCAAAGAATTTGTATTCTTTCTGAGCAACTGAAGAGTATGATTCTTCCTCTTCTGATTTTGAGGAATTGTCCTCCATTGGTATATTCTTTCCTCTTTGTCTGAGGAATTCCTGGAACTTCTTTTGGACCTCGTCTCCTTTTGAAGAAGAACTAACACCGGAAATATGCTGGTTGTAAAGGGATTTCTTCCCTTGCTGAATAATAGGGAAACCTCTGCCTCCCCTTTCTCTTTGAGAGGAAAAAGGGTTTCTTCCAGAATAGCTCATTTTTGTCATGAAGAAATATATTCACGAGTTAAAAAGGATTAAGTGTAAATAAAGGTTTATAATATATACGATAGCAAATACACATAATTTCAGTACCAGGTATGTAATTATAACCATGAGTTTTAACATTTAATGTTAATGATTCAAAAATATTACTATCTGATAAGGATAGGGATAAATTAGGATAGGCATCAAAATACACCGGTCCTAAAGCTAAGCTAGACTCAATAATTCCCATAAGGGATTGTTTCCAATTAAGATTTCTACCATCTCTAAGGGTAGCAAGGAAACTTTCTGGTAATCCGTTCAAAGTAAGTGGCCTAAAGGCAACTTGAACACAACCAATATGTAAGAATTTATGAGTTCTTTTAAAAGGTAAAATATCATTTTTACTAAGTAATTTAATAACCATTTCAGAATCATGAAGAGGTATAGAAGATTCAGTGGTTTTAACAATTTGTTTGAACCCTAATTTTTCAAAAATACCAAGTTTATAAACCATATTAGGTTTAATAATTGGAATAGTCCATCTATTTAATAAATCAAGATTCTCAGGAACATCATATTCCTGGGTCATACTATTTTTAACAGTATCATGATTCTTGAAAATATTCATCATCAATTGAAATGTATTAAATCACGACTTAAGAACAAAACATATATATATATATATATATATATATATATATATATATATATATATATATATATATATATATATATATATATATATATATATATATATATATCATACGCATGACTTTTTATATGTTAAATGTGATATTTATGATTTGATTGGTAATTTCTATATATGCAAATTAATGACATGTACAATTATACAAATGATGACATGTTTTTTGCTTAATTTTCGTAACCAATCAAATGGACACGTGGGATGAAATTAAAGACATGTCAACATTTGAAATTGACAAATGTCAATCAATTAGGCATGGAATTCAACTTTTATATATTATATAGATGGTTTATTTAGGTTCAAGAAAGGTTTGTTGAAGGTTGATTTTGTGCTTGTATAAGCCTCACAAGCCATTTCCTACGTGCTTTTTATTGGAGAAAACCACATGGAGAGTTTTGTAGCGTTATTAGGGCATTTTGTGGAGCAGTGCCCTCGCTATGAGCATATAAATCAACAAAATTCAATGTTTATTTCAACTGATCGATAAAACAAACTACATTCTTATATCAATAAAGATTAAAAGTTCCCCAAATGTTTAGCCATATCTCTAAGCAAAAACTTTTGGAGTTTACCGGTGGACGTCTTGGGAAGCTCATCCTTGAACACCACCATTCTCGGCACCATATAAAGAGGCAGCCTTGCCTTGCAAAACTCCCTTATCTCTTTCTCAGTCGGCTTCTCCGCCACCTCATCCTTCAAGCTCACAAACGCGCACGGCGTCTCCCCCCAAAACCTGTCCGGCCGTGCCACCACCGCCGCCTCATTCACCGCCGGATGACTGTACAGAACCGCCTCCACCTCCACACTGCTCAGATTCTCTCCACCGCAAATAATCACATCCTTTGATCTGTCCTTCACCTCCAAGTACCCATCGGGATGAACCACCCCGACATCTCCGGTATAAAACCACCCATTCTCTCTCATGCATTTCGATGTCCCCTCGGCATCTTTCAGATACCCAAGCATCAAACTGCCGCCTCTCAGCACGATTTCCCCCATTGTCGACCCGTCTCTCGGAACGCTCTCGCCGGAGTCCGCCTCCACCACGTCCATTCCGGTGAATCCGACGGTCCCCACGCCTTGCCTCGCCTTGAGCCTAGCTCTCTCAGCTCCTTCCAAATGGTTCCACTCTTGCTTCCAAGCACACGTCACCACCAGCCCGCCAGTCTCCGTCAGCCCGTACCCGTGACTCACTACGAACCCTAGGGATTCAGCACGGCCAAGCACCGCCGCTGGCGGCGGCGCTCCGGCGGTCATTATGTTGACGGGATTCTCCAGCGGTTTGCTGCAGGGATGGTTGGTCAGCATGTTGAGCACAACTGGCGCCCCACACATGTGTGTTACTTTGTAACTCTCTAATGCTTGGTAGATGGAAGGCGCATCGACGCGGCGGAGGCAGACGTTAGCGCCGCCCACCGCCGCCATGCCCCAGGTGTAGCTCCAGCCGTTGGCGTGGAACATGGGCAGCGTCCACAAATACACCGGCTGCTTCGGGACAGACCAATCGAGCAAGGAGTTCACGGTTATCAAGAAAGCTCCACGGTGGCTGCTCACCACTCCCTTGGGAGAAGACGTGGTCCCCGATGTGTAGTTCAAGCTGATCGGGTCCCACTCGCTTTCGGGTCGAACCCATTTGAATCCCGGGTCGCCATTTTTCACCATATCTTCGTAACGACAAACACTAGTGTCATCGTTGATGAGGACTAAATCCGGGCGGTGTAGATTTGGAGGGAACAAGGAAACTGCTTCTTCCACAAGAGACGAAGATTGGTGGTCAACGAAGACGAGCTTCGAGCCGCTGTGCTGGAGTAGATTGGAAACGGCGTTTGCGTCCAAACGGAGGTTGACGGTGTTAAGGATTGCGCCAGCCATGGGGATGGCGAAATGGAGCTCGCACATGGCCGGGACATTCGGCGCAACTACCGAAACGACGTCGTTCCTCCTGATGCCGAGGGAAACAATGGACGAAGCTAGTTTCAGACATCTTGTATGGGTTTCGGACCATGTGCGAGAAGTGTCATTGTACAGAATTGAAGGGCAGTCACTGTAGACTACAGCAGCCCTTTCCAGGAATTCTATAGGTGTGAGAGGGCATGAGTTTGCAGATGATGGTTTTAAATTATGAAATGTAGTGCTTTCGTTTTCTGGAGAGATTGTTGTTGGCGTATAATTTTTTTTGGAAGATTGGGAGAGGGAAAATGAAATTACTGAAGAGGAGTTGAAAATTGGAGGAGATTGTTTTTGAGGTAGTTTATTATGTTGGAAGGGTGTGGAAGAAGAGAGAAGAGAGAGAGTTTGTTTAAGGGAATACATATTTTACTTGTACTGCTTTTTCTTTGTGCATGCGCTTTGTGAATATATATATATATATACATACAGCTTTCTTCAATTCACATGTGTACATAAGAATAGATAACTTCAATTTCCTTTTTCCTTTTCTTCTTCGTTTATGTCTCACTTCAATTACCTACATGTACGTAGACAGAGATGCTACACACTAGTGAAATACATTGGTTGATTTTGTACCATAAATTTATACAAATAAATATCCGTTAAACACACATATTGTGTTATTATGTGCATATCAATAGTGGAAAATCAACTGGTGTATTTCACGGGGTGTAGCACCTAAAACACCGATGAAATTCATTGCGTGTAGCAGCACCGTATAAATTGGGGAGGGGAGTAAACCGTTTTCGAAATATATTTGTAGTTAATTGTAAAAAGACTTCACCCTATTTCTTGTAATTATATTGCTAAAAAATATTATTTTTTATTACTGAAAACTGTCTTGTGATGCAATTCTTTTAAACGAAAACGTTTTAAACTGTGAATTTTTCTGTAGCAAAAATATCAACATCTTAATGTCGAGAAAAGTAACAAAAATTTCAACACCAAAATGTCGATTTTTCTGTAAAAAAAATTGACATGTCGAAAATTTACCCACAAAATCAACATGCAAATGTTGACCAACGACACAAAAAATCGACATTTGTAGGTCGTGGATTTGATAGTTTTCAAAAAAACCATCCATTGTATCCTTAAATTGTCAATTCTTCAACATAATGATACAACTGCGTACTCATAAAGACTTCTTAATGACATTTTGGCAAAAAAACTTCAGAAAATATCGATTGTTGCAAAAAAACCTTTTCGATTTTTCACATTTTTTTAAGATTTCGAAAATCATAATCTTGGGCATCGGTCGGTGTTGGACGGTTTACTCCGGTGGTTATGAAGGACAGTTCCGGCGGCTTTTGCTTTGGTGGTGATGGGTTTTGTTTTGTCTAATATTGCAATGTTCCTTTTTTTTTTTTTTGGTTTTGCAAAAAATAACTTGTCCTTTTGATCATATTATTCAGTTTCAACCTTACAATGGATTGATTGATCCGAACTCATGATTAATTTAATGAAAATGTAAATATGTTAGTTTAAGAGAATTGGCATTATAGCCTTACCAATATTTAATACGTTCTGTATGTTTTATTTAAGTGTGAATTATTATCTATATAGTTATTCCTAACATAGATACTAACTAGGTCAGCTGTCTAAATGCTTCACTTAATTACAAGAATTAAATTAATATTAATTGTCATTAGCACTATTGGCTGCTTACTCTATACTGGCATTACTAGCCGTTCTATAACCATTAATAATGTAACTACTTTTTTTATATCCGTTCTGTATAGCTTATTTATATTTATTTTTTTTATTTCGAAACCAGTTATTTAAAAGTACTTCAGCCTTAAAAAAAATTAATTTTAAATTTATGTTTTTAAAGGTTTCGATTAAGTCACTCGCACGTCGTTGCGACAAAAATATCATCGTATTTTCTTATTTAGAAGAAGTCCTCCGCCCTAACAACGACGACGTGAGCTTATAAAGTATATTGAGGTTCATTGTATCGATGTTAACTATAGTAACTTACTGCTAACAAGAATGATAGCAATTTTACTACATTAGTATAAGGCTTTGTTTGATTGTTAAGATAAGATTAAACAATTTAATGAAAACCCAATTATTTTATCAAATTTCGGGACGTCCAACAAAAAAACTACCTAAAAAGTAAGGCAGACCATGATAACTATATTTGTTGGTCGACCAGACAAATTATTGAGGATATAAAACATCAAACAAAAAGTCCAATTAGTTAGTTAATAATGACTGATATTCCCAATCAAAGGAGACCTAACTAGACTTATGAAAGGGTTGAGCAAAGTGAAACGTGCAGGTGTATTTAGAATTGCGATCGCTCAGTGCTTGTAATCATTTGTTGCAGCCTAAAGCGACAACAAGATCAGACAAAGCCCCAATCATGTATCGGATCGGGTTATTCAGGTTACGACCCGACCCGATCGGGTTTTACCCGACCGAATTGGGTAATTTTTGAATTAACTGGGTTTTTCTAGGTTCAAGTAACCGGTGCTCACCAATCGGGTTGGGTCCGGGTATTAGCAATTCTACCCAGATACCCGATCGGGCACCCGATTAAAAAAAAAATCCCACATATTGAGCCAACTTGCACGGTTGCACCCAAGCCCAATTCAAACTCAGTTTTATATTTGTAAAAAAAAAAACAAATGAGAACCCCAATGTTGTTGTAAAATAATTCCCATTAGCTCCTTTATTGACTATATAAAATTGAATTCGATAGTGATATAATATTACTAGTTTGCGAGGGGTTATGGTTTGAGAAATGCATGATGAAATTTCCACTATGGCAAATTAAATACATAAATAGAAATATAATTGTGTATTTGTGTTAGTGGAAAAAATAGAAACACAATATAGAAATTGTAGAGCAAAATATATTCTTTTATTAGATGTGCAGAAGTGTACAATACATTTTTCTTCCTCTATTTAACACAAGAAAATGCTTGTCACTAAGGACACATGTCCACACCTAATTGTTCATTGCTCTAAATAGTTACACATGTAAAGGCACATGTCAAACCCATATTTTCAATGTGCTAAAGTCCATAGTTTATAACAAATCTTATATTTATATTTTATATAGAAAAAAAAGTCAAAATAAAAAAACACAAAAAACATAAGAGAAATAAAAAAGGGCACGCCACGAACAAAAGAACTGTTTCAGTTCTTCTACTGTTCTCCTCTCCACCAATTTCCAGTTTCTTCTCCGGCATTGTGACGGCCTAACGACGGTCCTCACTTCTCTGAATTAGTGAGTTCTTCACTCTTTGATTTTTCCCAGTTTGGCTCTTTATTCTTTTTTCAAATTAATTCTTCACTCTCTGATTTTCCCCAATTTGTGACTATTGAATATTTGAATTTGTTATTAAAATTTGGAAGTTTGATTTGATTTTGTTATTAACTTTTATTATGTATTAATAATGACTAATATTCCCAACCAAACGAGGCCTAAATAGACTTATGAAAGGGTCAAGCAAAGTGAAACACGCAGATGTATTTAGAATTGCGATCGCTCAGTGCTTGTAATCATTTGTTGCAGTCTAAAGCGACCACAAGATCAAACAAAGCCCCAAGCATGTATGTACTATGTATTGTTGAACGGAGCCAGTAATCGAGTATATACGAGAGGTGTTCGATGTGGGGAGTGCGAATATAATGCCATGTGGGATGAGATCAAAAAGTTGGTTCATATTATATATTTTTCATAATAGTTGCCTTCGATAAGTTATAGGCGACCAAGGACCGGGGTAACATAAGCGAAGCGCATTAAGACGAAAACATAGGATAGAAACATCCGAGGAATTACAGTAGAAATAATGTATCGACTCTAGCATAAGAGCTACCTGATTCACAAGTCTAATATGATTTTTCAGGTCCAAGTTCTCACTACGAGGGACATTACACCGAAATTACATTGAGCGTCTGTCGGCATGTTTTCCTAAATAATAATAATGTTCACACACAAACACAAAAGAAACGATAAAAACGAGCAACCCTCTTAAGCCACACGCGTTAAGAGAGAGAAAGAAAAAGCACGAGTTCGGTGGTCTCAGTAATCGAGAGATCCTAGAGATGGGAGGCCAGGAATTAGGGTTTGGGCATCAGCATTGTTTATCCTTTGGTCTGTACTACTTATGTTCAATGACTCAGCCTCCTCTTTTCCCAGCTTCATCACATCTTCGGGCGACAGGATCTTGATGTACCACACATTATTCACAAATGCCCTGTATGTGTATACATATGTGCGTGTGTTTGTGTGTGTTAGTCAGTTCACATATATATTGCACAAGCAAAAAGTAAAAAAAAAAAAAAAAAAAAAAAAAAAGGAAAAACGTACTCCCACGGGTCGTCACCAAGGAGAAGCACATCATTCTCCCTGTCGACGAATACAAGCTGCCAGCCTGATCTTTGACGATGATGGTCTTCAAGCAAACCTTGAATCCCGAACATCTCTCCCAATTCGTTTCTCAGCTCTTCATAGCTGTTGAATCTCCCTATGTCCAACGACCTACCCACCGATCCTGTTTTGTACACCTATTACACCAACCAAACAAATATTAAATAAAAAATAAAAAATAAAAAATAAAAAATAAAAAAATCTGAAAAAAGTCGAAGAGAAAAACCTTAACAAAGGTAGGATTCGGTGTTTGTTGGTCAACTTGTGCTGCAGCGTGCAGCATGTTGTTGTCGGAAGAATCTTGCACATACCCATAAAGAGGAGTAGTTTGATACCCGACCGATGAGCCTAACGGCATCGAAAACATCATATCAGCACCCATACTCGAAACAGTTGTGGGTAGCAGAAGGCCAGACGAGTCCATGTTAGCTCCGAAGAGAGCAGCTTGATCCTGCTCTTGCATTGAAGCAGCATCTTTTCCCGTACCACCCCTGACTGGTGATTGGCCGAATTTCGCTGCCCACGATTGTTGCGCTGACTGCTCGTTGACTATGGGATGCTGCTGATGCTGGTGGTGACCGGTTATTGAGAAATTTACGAGATTGCCACTCCCCGAGCCCAACATGTTTTGCATGCCGGAATGTGACGAAAACTTGTTACTGTCCGAGTTTGCGAAATCTGATTTTGTGAATGAAGGTGAGGGAATATCCGACGGCAAAAATGCTTCTTGATAAGTGTGTTGTTGTTGTTCAGAGGGGTTGTTTTCGACTTGGTGCGGTGGTGGTACTATGAGTGTTCTCTGCATATTATCGGACAGCATTTGTGTTTGCAGAGGAAGAATGTTGGAAGGTACGGGCGAGTGTTGAAGGTAATGCATAGGCTGCTGCTGCTGCTGAAATTGTAGCAATTGGTTTTTGAGTAAATCTCGGTGATCGTTTTGAAGTCCAGCTGAAAGCATTGCCTGATACTGGTTCGGATCGTTTCTCAAGGCCGATGGATCGAATCTCTGTTGCATCCACGGAAACGTGCCTGCAGATTGAAAATTCATTGGATTGAAACCACCACCTTCGTCCCCTCTCAGCCATGCCATCCCGTTCATTGTTTCGTTGCTACCATCTAAAACACACAAGATTACGATTTTGTTTTCAGAAATAAAATCAATCAAGGAAAATAAAGGGTATGATCGTCGTTTAACAAAAACAAGCATTTTACAATACCTTGAAAAGATGATGCACCGGGGTACCAGGGGCGTTTGAGCCTAAGGGGGAATAAAGAGGGGTACATTGGGAATGTTGTCAAAGGCTCGATTTCCCATAGTGATACCCTTGGCTGCCTCTCACCTGCTGTCGATTCATCCCATCCCACCTACATATAAATACATCAAATCATATGTTTAGTGGACACAAACACTAATAATCATTTCACAAGTCGAGAAGTTGCTCCGCGGGCTCATCCATTCAGATGAGATATATATATATATATATATATATATATATATATATATATATATATATATATATATATATATATATATATATATATATATATATATATATATATATATATATATATATATATATATATATATATATATATATATATATATATATATATATATATATAGTGATAGATATATGTGTATATATATATATATATATATATATATATATGTATATAACATATATAGAGTAGAACGATGAATACTAAGAAAACCCGATTTCAAGTTGATGCATGTTTACAATGAATTAGAATAATATCATCACTGGACAAAGTCATTGCTTCATAGATGCCTAGCTATACATTGTACCCATCGGTAAAGATAACTCTATACTAAAAGAAACAATGTACAGGTGGTTTAGCTTAGAAACGAAGGTCGAATTACGAGAAAAAAAACCCCTCCTGTTTGGGTAATTACAACCACCCTCCTCAACTATGAATCTTCTTACACGTTCACCCTTATGGTGTCAAATTCAACATAATCTTCTAAATTTCGTGGAATGTTCTCAAGTTTGGTACTCGTTTTGTGCAAAACTGCAGTTTCTAATGCACCACAATCTGATATTTACAAGTCAAGATACACATCTTATGATTATCTAGTTTCAAAATGTGGAGCTCGAATGAGGTAAAACGGTTACCAACTAAATAATATTCCACAGAATCTAGAAGATTCCACTAAATTTAACACTGCAAGGGTGGACGTGTATGAAGATTCATAGTTGATGGAGGTGGTTGTAATTACCCAAATGGTTTGTTCGTAATTTGACCTTACCTCAGGGGGTCGCCGTAATTTACCCAAGAAACTAACTACTTAGACAAGTATGATATATTTGAACCATAATTTGATCATGTATTTGAACCATAATTTTGTGCGTAAGTTCTTATGTTTTAACAAAATTTAATGGGGAAAATCTTCGTATTCTGGTGTTCAATAAGTTTTAGTTAATCAATACGACGTCGTTGCATGTCTGACACGATATAAATAAATACACACTCTCGACCAATATATATTGTTAACAACTCTCATCAAGCAAAAAAGAAAGTTTGATTACCTTAACAGAACGCCAGTGTGAGTTTGTCCAACGAACAGGATCTAAATCACCAATCCCAGTAATTGTTCCCATGTATCTGATTCATGCAAGTTGACAAATCCAAACATTATTATTTGCTAAAGAAACCAGATTTGTACAATAATTATAGTAATTTAATATTTACGCATTTATTTTGAGATTTTTATTAGCTATTTCAAAAAGAAAAAAAAAAATTCAATTTCACTCCATTTCAATTTCATTAAATGTTGTCGAATACGAATCTCATACACCAAAATATAGAAATTAAAAATATATTCTAAATATTGTGCAAATATTGCACTTTCAAAATCCAGACAACATACATATTTAACTTGCTGTCAACTTAATAACTTAATAAATAATTGCGGAAATTAAATAGAGACGAATTCATTTGAAGAAGTTAAGCAAAAACGTACCTGCGGACACTAGATTCTTCAGTCTCAAACAGCATCCTAAAACGCATTCCCACCGAAACACGCGTGTGATACACAGCTTTTGCATACTTAGATAGAGGTATCACAAATTCAGATGGACTAGCCCTAATGTTAACATCAACTTTCGGTAAGAAGCAGAAAATAAAACATTTAAAATTGTAATTATTAATAATAATAAAAATAATGATAATAATAATAATAATAATAATGACCTGGGGTTATAAAAGACAGTGAAGCAGCTATTAGTAGCAGCAGCATGAGCAGCAGCGGCAAGCAGTCCAATGTGCATACTGTCGCTGGAAAGAACAGACGACGGCATCACAGTTTGAGGTCGAGTTGCACGCCGAATTCCTAAAAGTAGCTGATTTTTCTCATTCCTAAAAAATTCAAACATGTCTTATGATTCATGCATAACATGGAAATAAGATTTTCCAACTATTAAATTCTTACAAAATTAATTATTGAAAAAATATTAAAAAAATAAAAAAATCAATATGTTTAAATTGCACCAGATGAAAAGAACGGAATCCCCAGCGACGAGTCTTTTAGCACTGACAAAGACGCTCCATCCAGTAGTTAGCAAGTGACGCTTTGGCTGACCTGAGCAAAAAGAAGCACCCACGGTATCAGAAAAAAAAGGAGATACAAAATATGCAAGTTTACTTCTTTCCTTGTTTAAAACTCGAGAGTTGTATCAATTTACTCACAAAGTTTCTGTTTGTAGAGTGATTGTGGAATTCAAGAATACTATATATACATTATTCTCTTCGAACCCCGAATCTTGCCCCCTCTTTCTAATTAGACATAACCATTTTCTTGCAAAACAAAACCACACAACAAAATGACACCGTTTTACGTTTTGGCATAAAATATTTCCCTTTTATTCATGTAATTTATTTTTCCTTTCAAAATGATGATTTAACAGCATTAATTGACATTGCTATGCGTATCCGTCGTAGGTGATAGATATACTGCATTAGAAAGCTTATTTTAAGAGCACCTAATCGAGTTAATATGCCCCATAAGTCTGTACGCACTCAGTAAACTTGGCAAGTGAGCATCAAACGTAAATGATTTTGCTTTACCAATGAGTTCCAAAATAGCAAAATTGTTATATAACAGTGAAAAATCTGATAATTAACTAAAAACTATATTATTTTTGATTTTATGTTTATTTTCTTATCTCCTAGAAATAAATACATCGAAATAGTTTTTACCAAGTAGTAGTTTTATACCAAAATACAGCTAATATAATGTAAATTGCAACAGGAAAGTTACATAAAGGACTCGGCAAACTACCAGATAATAAGAGGTGATGGATGTACTTGTAATGTAAATGTAAACGAGCAAAATTGCATAAAGGACTCGGAAATAGGGTTAACATAAAATCCGAAATATAATAGCATAGCGTAAACATTAAGAGGTTTCTGAATTCGAAAGACTGAAAGTTACCACGAAAGATATGCCTAAACTTCCATTCGACGTCATGGAGATCCCTAGCAATAAGTTCTTGAGCAGGTGGCGTTTGTGAGAAATCCTGTACGGCACCGATTTATAACACCCAATTACATGTATTCAACACCGTAATTATTATTATTATTAATTTATTACCAAAGGCGGGAAGACTTTCTCAGCAGCACGACGAGGAACAGAGAAGCCGCCATGTGTACTCGTATCGCTTGCTGTCAGTGTCTTGCAAAAGTAGTTTGTCGGTTGTCTGCTCCCCATTCCTAGCTCCACCGGTAGATACGCATCTTTTTGTTCTTGCTGCATTTCATTCAACCAATCAATATTTATTTCAATACCCCCCCACATCAAAATAATTAGTCGATCAAAATAACGGCATATAGGTTTGAAAAATACTGGAGTCAACGGCTGCAGAGTCATCTGAGCATACACTTCGTCCGTTTCAACGTCTGCCTGAGGTTCAAACATATACGAAAGATCGAATTATTCTAAACGTTTATTCAACTTAAAAATCATTCTTTCTCTTTTTTTTTAAGCAAGATAGGAACAAATAACATCTACCGAAGAAAACCCACATGCATTGTAACATTGTGGAGTTGGCAGATCAATTGGGGCGGCAAGCTCGGGTAATTCGGTATATGGGCATCGATTTCTTTATTAGTCGTCGCAGCTACCTGTCGACGAAAAATTCCCAATTAAGATCTCTCTATTGCATACATACATACATACATACATACATACATACATACATACATACATAAATACATGTACAACTAACTACTAAGAAGGAAAAAAAATTCAAGATTAGGAGAAGTAAAATTGAATTGAAACCTGCTCACTGTGGCCCTGAGGGAAGTAAACGACTCGACTACCGACTGTTGGCAGAGAAACCAACGGACCGGCGCACGCATGCCATAGCTCAGAATTCAAACACTTCTTCTCCCCTTCCATTAGCCCAAAAACAATAAACAAATCCATCAATATAACCCGAAACCCGAAAACCAGAAAACCCGAAAACCATAACTAAGAAATTCATACACTAAGAAAGCAATGAATTAAAAAATTAAAGGTACCTTCATGAGAATGCTGACCCATCCCTGATGTTGAAAGCTTCATAGTTTTTTTTTTTTTAAATTACACTTTCACTCAGATACAAAATATTATTTAAATCAATAAACAGCTACAGGTTTTTATTTATTTTTTATTTTTTTAATTTTAGTAGGTAGCAAAAGATTAATCAGACAAAACCCTCACTCGTTATCCTTAACACATGAAAATCTGTGAGCTTCAGCACTCTGTTGCTTCCCAGTTCACACTTGCCCATCTCAAATCTTAAAGAAGAAGAAAACCCACTAAAAATGAAAACCTCGGAATCATCAAATTTTGCAGCTCATCGTCATTAATCATGAAACCCCAAGAAAATTGAGCCATTTCTCTGTATTCAACAAGAAACCCATTAAAATAAAAAATTGGAGAAACCCCCCTCTAGGTTTTGCTGCTGAAAGTTGAGAGCTCTTTTCAGCCAGTCGTTGTCTCTCTCTCTCTCTCTCTCTCAACTTTTCTTCAAGAAAATCTAGTGAGAGAAAATAAAGAGAAAAAAAAAAAGGGGAAAAAAACGATAGACTGTAGCTTTCTTCTTCTTTTATAGTCCACCCGACCAAGCCCGACCTGGTGGCAGTCACTCCAGGGAGAGAGAGAGAGGAGAGAGAGAGAGAGAGAGAGAGAAAGGCAGAGAGTGTGTGTGTGTGGCAAAATACTGTAGTACTGCTGTGCTACTGTGCAAATGGCTCAGCGAGTGTACATCTCTTTCTCTCTCTTTTGGGGTATGATGAGAGAGAGAGAGAGAGAGCTGAACAAAAAAAAGAGAGAAATCTGAGCCGTTGATTGAACCGTACGATGGATCCTGGCCTTTCCACGAAAAAAAATGATTTGACAGGAGGCATGTGCCACCATCCTTCAGTGGTCGTTGTCAGAGTACGGACATGGGGAAATATATAATACTTCTCTCTCTCTCTCTCTCTCATCACTCATCACAATCAATATGAATGAATGAGAGAGAAAGAGTTGTACACTACGCATATCCGTGTTGTACCATCACATTTCTGTAGGTGGCAGTAAGAAATCTTGACGAACTAAACTATAGATGAAATATTATATATACGGGGGTTGCTTTTCATCCATACTGGAAAAATTGTACCTTTTTTTTTTTCTTTGACTTGGAATAATATATTAAATTAATATTATTTTTTGTAAAATAATGGACATGGAATTAAGAATGTGGACCTTGTGGGCATGGTGATATGGTCCATGCCTTTGGGACTAATAAGGGGGGGGACCATTTGTTTTGGCACAAGTTATATTTTATGTGATCTTTGGATGAATTTCATGATAGATAGATACATTAGATACCTATTTTGTTTAGGAAGTAGTCTTCTTCTTGTGAGGGAAATTTTGTTTACACTTTCTTGATAGGGAGAATAAATCTATCCCCCCATTCAATTTTTTACTCATTTGTACCAAACACCTCCTATTTTTTTAACCACTAGTTACTTGAGTTTGAAAATAAATACCCTCCAAATTCAACTATGCAACTCATTTACGAAAAATAACATGTGAAACCTAATATATGAAATGGGGTGGTGGTAGATAGATAGCACTTCTTCCAATCCATGCTCTCACTTTTAGAAATATAAAATCAATCCAAACTAGTGTTTTGAAACCCGCACAGGACCGACTGGTTAAATTCGTTAAACTGCGAATCGTTGTCTTGTCTGATGCGATTTAACCGGTTGATCGGTCATATCGGAATCCGAGTGTAAATTGGATTTTTTTTCGCACAAAATTGTGTTTTTTTTTTTATAAAAATAAACAAATATAATGACCAAAACGACGTAAAATGACCAAAAAAACCCTCTTATGCACTTTCGTATGGCACACTTGCCGAATTTGCGACTAGTAATGATTTTTTGAACCTAAAATGACATAATTACCCCTCAAATTTATTAATATTCAATTTGGTGGTTTTTTTCATAAATCCTTCCTGCCGTCCACCCATGACCGCAACACAACACAATGGCGGGCATTTCTTTTTTTTTCTTCCTCACTTCATAAATA